TTAATTTGATTAATTTTGAAAACACATTCATTAATTTGGATTTTAAAGATTAATTAATTTGGATAAAACACATTAATTAATTAAATTAAAAAGAAGATAATTTTTGATGATGAACTTTTTTCGGTGAAAAAAAACTTCATGAATTTATGAACAGTTACAAATTTCAAATAGCTTAAAAAATGTTAGAGTTGAAATAGCTAGATGCAACTGTGAACTTTCTATGCTAAAATTTTTCTATCGCAATTCTTAATTGTTTAAAACTTTTTCCGGCTTCTTAAGACTTTCCTGTTCAACTTTGATCTTGAAAACCTTAAAATAAATTCTATCGTTATCTTTTTAATTTTAATAGATTTTATTTGGACGTTCACCTTTTATAAAAAAAAATACGTATTTTAAACAATTAATTATGCTGAAAGGCGTTTTTTTTTTTAAAGCTCAGCCAATTACTTGAACACAAGGCATGCAGGCTTTCCATTTACGGTTTTCCATGTTATATAGTTTGATTAATTTTAAATATTTTTATACTATATTAAATTAATTCAGGCATTTTGCTCTAAGCCAATTTTATTATAATTATTCAAAATTAAATTTAAAAAATCTATTCTTGTAAAACGTCATTATTAATAGAAAGTTCTTTTCTTGTCTCTCTACTTTATTTAAAAAAAAAAAAAAAATTAAAAATTCTTTCAATTTCATGTTTTAATTTTATTTGGCTTTAATTTTTGATCTTGGTTTGATGAATTTTTTTTTTTTTTTAAAAAATATAGGTGTCATTCGGATATAAATAAAATTTAAAACAAAAAAAAAAAATGAGATTGCATAAAATTAAAAAAAAATCCAGAAAAAAAACATTTTAAAAAATTTTTGAAAAAATGAAGATGATATAAAATGTCGTCTTCAAGTTTCTGAAAATGCAAATGTTTACTGAAAAATTGACAATTACTGTCATAGAGAAGACATTTTGTTTGATGAAATCTTTTTCTTCAACTTCCATAGGAGATTCACAATTACCTTCTGATCTCTTTTTAAAAAAATGAATATAAAGAATTTAAAATTTTGAAGGTTTTAAAAACAAAAATATAATTTAATAACAAAAATTGTTCATTGGCGTAATAAAAAGACTCGGACGATAAAATTCAAACACTTCCGAAATAATTAAAACTTTTATTTCAACATTCTATTTGATGTCTTTTTTTTTTATTAATCTTTTGATGTGGCACATCTGCAAAAATATTTTCATTGAGGACATAAACTCTTTTATTCAGTCACAAATAGATCAAAAGTAAAAACAATTGTTAACATTACACCATTCAAATAGCCCATAATAGGGAACAAATTTTTGAATATATGAATTACTAAACTTGGAAATACAAAGGGAGATCGATTTCTGACCATCAAATTCCGATGGTTCGAATCTCATGTTGTTATAATTGAACATTACCTATTCTATTATTAATAGACTCTCCCACAGAATAAGTAGTAGTAGTAGTAGCGGTCACCAGTTGGGCTCAGTGGTGTTGAGTGAGTCAGTCGATATCGGACATTTAAGTACCAACCATCACAACTAGATTGCTGCGTCATTAACTCTTATTTCAACTTCCCAACGTTTTGTACGTCGAATCTAATTTAGGACGACTTATTGAAATACAAGCCTCCACTGTGAAAACTACTCTACAACACCATGGTCGATTTGTCAGGAAGGCGACGTCTTGATGCCACTGTTCTGGGTGGAGATGAGCCTTCCCAGCGTGTGGCACCTTTTGAAAGTGTCTGAAAACCAAACCATGGGTTGGCCCAAACCTTGTGAGTTAAACTGGGCATAGGGAACTTTTGTAAATTTATATTTAGATTTTGGCTAGTTTGAATTCACAAGTCATCGTGACCGAGGGTTTGGGCGTGCTGGCTTTGTTCAGGCTGCTGATCACGATAGATAAAGCGCTCTCTTCCATAAACTGTAACTAAGGCCCGTTCAGCAGAGTTGAGTATAAACCACAGGTGGGTTCTCTGGGTGTTGAACAAACACAAACGTGCCCGAGCAGACGTCTTCAACAGGGATTAGTTAGTCGCCCTAGTATACAGGCGTCATCGAATGCGAGTGGTCAGCCATCCATATATGTGTATAATATATTCGTTTGGTAGTCGTCGATGGTAGAGTATTCAGCGGGTGTCTGTAATAGGAATATGATAGCCAGCCCTGACATTTTTTGTTCTTCCTAAATGTGCAGCCAGCTTTATATAGGTTTATTTTCTGTATTTCATATTAAACCATCACCATAGTCGACTTAACAAGGAATAACATTAATAATATCGGCCTGAGGAGACGACACGGATTTGCTGCCCCGTCATAACGGATGGACACAAGCCTTGTGAATATTGTTCTAGTACGAATTTTCAAGCCATCGTGACCTAGGGTTTGAGCGTGTTGGCTTTATTTAACTAACGATTATCAGATTATGCGGTCTCTCTAAGAAAATGTAACTAAATCAAGCTTGGAATAGTTATACAGTGTAACCCGGATATAAGAGGGTTGTCGGGACCGGAGAAGAAGTCTCTTATATCCGGGTTTCTCTTATATCCGGGTTTGGTCTATTTCATTTACATTAACACAAGCTCTAATTTGGGACCAGAGAAAATCTCTCTTATATCCGGGTTTCTCTTATATTCGGGTTTCTCTTATATCCGGGTTTCTCTTATATCCGGGTTTCTCTTATATCCGGGTTACACTGTAGTTACATTATGCATCTGAGCTGGCGTTTGCAACAGGCATGAGAAGGGCCTATTCAAAATCTGTCAGACAACCATTATATTGTATAGTTATACATACGTCTATATAATAAATGCGATTGTCAGTATATCACTGTATCACACTTTTTCATTTAAAGGGACACAACTCTCAACTTTCAATAGCTCATCTTCTTCTTCTATATAATAAAGGTCAGTGTGTAATTGTGTCAAACTTTGCTCTTAGAGGCCGTAGCCCAACATATTATACCTTTCTGGAATCAGGCCGACTATGTCAAACATTACGGATCCGGACTGAAATTTTGCATTCCCAAGTTTTCTGAAATTGTTTTCGGCGAAATTATACGTGATTTTTAGTGACGAAATTTTTGTAGGATAAAAATATTTTTTTTTAACTTGGAAACAAATATGGAATAATTAAAATTAATTTTGAAAGTCACCCATGAAATAAGAATAATTGTTTGTACGGAAAGTAAGGACCTACGTACATCAAATCGTCTTTAAATTAAGTGGAGGCAGAAGGTGTATAGGGGGAACTTTTAAAAGGTAGGCTTAAATATTAATGCAATACTTAAATGCAGTGATCAATTTTGAGTTCTTCTGTAGTTTATTGATGCCTATTGCATTTATTCCTCATTACCTATTGTGATGAAGGCCCAATCAAGAGCCCTCCGCAGGAGTTTGCTTAAATGCCGCCCGATAGGCCGATTATTAAATTAGAATATATATATATATGAGATAACGATATATAAATTTTACATATTTTTTTAAAATCAAGAACAGTTTGAAAGAAATGATGTATAACAAATTGAAATAAGTTTTTGTCACGTGTTTCATCCGTTGAAACCCTGTCCGATGAAGTCCTAACGGATGAAACATGCCACAAAAAAACTATATGAATGAAAAAAAAAAGTATGACAAATATATATATATATATATATATATATATATATATATATATATATATATATATATATATATGGCAAACGATAGATATATATTTATGTATCTTGATGAAATTTAAAGAAAAAGTTTTTTCTTGTGACGCGTTTCGTCCTTTGGGTATTTAACAGACTGATGAAGGCGATATTTTTTTTGTTTGAATAATTAATTCTCTTTATTTGGTTTATATATATATATATATATATATATATATATATATATATATATATATATATATATATGTAAATATTCTCGATAGTGTGTATATTTTAGAATAGACAAAATGAATAAAAAAGCGTCAAGAGTCAGTGGAAGTAAGCATAGTTTTTCCTCGTGTAAACTTTTTTTCATATATATATATATATATATATATATATATATATATATATATATATATATCCTAAACCAAATAAAGACAATTAATTATTCAATATATATATATATATATATATATATATATATATATATATAGACAACAATTTTTCATTGATGCGTGTTTCATTAAATAATATAGACAAGTTTGGTCTATTTATTTTAAGTAAGTTCCTTTCATATTGTCTGATGAGCTTAATAACATTATCATTGAAGGACGAAAGGAAATCACCATATTGATACATGTTTAAATCCAAACTAAGCTTTCGGCTTACATAAGCCAATATCAAAGATGACGATTACTTTTCAATATATCAACCAATATACGGAACAATAATGATAGTCTGTTTTTGTTGCGTGAAAAGTTTCAAAGCAACGACTAACTCTCGCGTGGTCATGTATGACGTCGCGAGCTGTGACGGGATTTTCGCTTCCGCGTCTCGTATACACGAGTTAGTGATGATAACAAAGATGAGGATAATAATCCGAACAATGTAAATCGTATAAATAATTACTAATTAAGTTACTTTTGTCCAGGTATTCAGATAAGCTGCTTAGCCATCTTGACACCATTTGTCGTAAGAATCATTGAAAAACCCTTTGAGTTATTCAGCTAGAAAGAGAACAAGTGAAAGTCGTTTTGTGTCAGCCCTGCTATGTCTTCCCAACTGACCAATGGTGAGTGGAAAAAGATCATTCAGATCTTCAGTAATAATGCAATAGTTTGTGAAGAAAGAAAGAAAGAAAGAATTCGTGAAGAACGAAATAGTTCGGAAAGAAAGATGTAGGTTGTGAAGGAAGAAAGAAAGAAAAAAATAATTCATGAAGAAAGAAAGAAAGAAAGAAAGAATTCGTAAAGAAAGAAAGAAATAGTTCCTGAAGAACGAAATAGTTCGGAAAGAAAGAAAGATGTAGTTTGTGAAGAAAGGAAGACAGAAAAAAAATTATGAAGAAAAAAAGATAGAAAGAAAGAAAGAAAGGAAGAAAGAACGAAAAAAGAATTCATGAAGAAAGAAAGAATTTGTGAAGAAAGAAAAAATAGTTCTTAAAGAACGAAATATTTCGGAAAGAAATAATTAGTTTGGAAAGAAAGAAAGAAAGAATAGAATAGAATAGAATGGAAACAAAAAAGAAAGAAAGGGTAAACTAGAATAGAACAGAATGGAAAAAAGAAAGAAAGAAAGAAAATAGAAAGAAAGAAAGAAAGAGAAACAAGAAAAAAAGAAAGAAAAAAGAAAGAAAGAAAGAAAAAAGAAAGAAAGAGAAAAAAGAAAGAAAGAAAGAAAGAAAGAAAGAAAAAAGAATTCATGAAGAAAGAAAGAATTTGTGAAGAAAGAAAAATAGTTCTTAAAGAACGAAATATTTCGGAAAGAAATAATTAGTTTGGAAAGAAAGAAAGAAAGAAAGAAAGAAAGAAAGAATAGAATAGAATAGAATAGAATTGAAACAAAAAAGAAAGAAAGGGTAAACTAGAATAGAACAGAATGGAAAAAAGAAAGAAAGAAAGAAAGAGAAAAAAGAAAGAAAGAAAGAAGGAATAGAATAGAATAGAATAGAATGGAAACAAAAAAGAAAGAAAGGGTAAACTAGAATAGAACAGAATGGAAAAAAGAAAGAAAGAAAGAAAATAGAAAGAAAGAAAGAAAGAAAAAGAAAGAGAAACAAGAAAAAAAGAAAGAAAGAAAAAAGAAAGAAAGAAAAAAGAAAGAAAGAAAGAGAAAAAAGAAAGAAAGAAAGAAAGGACGAAAAAAGAATTCATGAAGAAAGAAAGAATTTGTGAAGAAAGAAAAATAGTTCTTAAAGAACGAAATATTTCGGAAAGAAATAATTAGTTTGGAAAGAAAGAAAGAAAGAAAGAAAGAATAGAATAGAATAGAATAGAATAGAATAGAATTGAAACAAAAAAGAAAGAAAGGGTAAACTAGAATAGAACAGAATGGAAAAAAGAAAGAAAGAAAGAAAGAGAAAAAAGAAAGAAAGAAAGAAAGAAGGAATAGAATAGAATAGAATAGAATAGAATGGAAACAAAAAAGAAAGAAAGGGTAAACTAGAATAGAACAGAATGGAAAAAAGAAAGAAAGAAAGAAAAAAGAAAGAAAGAAAGAGAAAAAAAGAAAGAAAAAATGAAAGAAAGAAAGAAAAAAGAAAGAAAGAAAGAAAGAGAAAAAAGAAAGAAAGAAAGAAATAGTTCGTGTAAAAAATCAGAAAAAAGCTTTAACAGATATATAGAAAGAAGCATTTTAGAAATGGCGGGCGTGATGAGAGTAAGGCTCATTGTAAAAAGAAGAAAAAAGAAAAAGAACGGAAAAAGATAGATGGAATTAAAAAACCGAATAGGGCAAAAATCAAAATCAAACAAAAAAACAAAAAAAAAAAACAAGAAAACGGAACAAACAAGAAGGAAAAATAATATGGCGCCTTGAGAAAAGAAATGCGATGTTTACAAAATCTGTCAATAAATATGACCGTAGTTTGGTGAGAAAAAGCCGAGTTGAGGAAAATCAGCGGGCAAACAGCCGATGGTCTAGATGCGAAAGAAAATTTCACAGGCGATCCCGACATGTTTCGACGGCGAATTTCTGATAGATTCTGGTAACTCGATAGTATCAAAAAAACAAAAGAGTACTATCGGGTAGTGGGTCGGCTGGAAAAGAATCTGCTGTGAAATTAACGGGTGCACTTAAAGTTCTATATAGACCCAAACGAAAAAAAAAAAAAAAATTGTCGGCTCCCTGTACCGCTCAAGAAAATACCCGTCTCCCCCTGTCATTTTCTATCTCTAAAAGAGCGAGACCAGACCTAAAATAGTGTATTTCTGTCACATCTGGACCAGAGCATACCAATACTCACTTTCCAGATTCGTCCGGTTTTTATTTTTATTTTTATTCTTTTTATTTAAAGCGTTTCTGCGTTCTTGTAGGGGAAAAAAAAAATTCTTTCTCACCCTTCAATCTATCCCACCCACCAACATATGGAACGTTGTTAAACACTCGCTATCTTCCGTTATTTTCATAAAAGAAGCTCTTACGAACGACGTTCTTCGTTTCCACCTGCTCAGACCTTTACAGCTGGGAGACCCCTTGTGCGCAATCCCCCCCTTTCCATGTTCTGTCTCTTACTAGAGCGAGACCAGACCAAAAATAAAGTATTGCTGCCACATCTAGACCGGAGCGTCACAATCCCCACTTTCCAGATTCGTCCGAGTTTTTTTTTTTTTTTTTTTAAGCGTTTGCGCTGTCTTGTGGGTGATAAATTGTTTCCCACCCTTCAACCCCCTCCCCCATATGGAACGTTGCTAAACTATCGCTAATCTACCGTTATTTTCTTTTGTGATGTCAACGAACCCTCGTTGCCACTTTTGTAATGTCAACGAATATTCCTTGTCACTTTAGTAGAGCCTTTGTAAGTGGAGATACAACTATAGTAACTCCGTTGAACAATACT